ACTTATTCTTCGTTGCCGGCCTGCCCCCGCGGTGTGCTGCTCGCCCGCTCCCAGCTGGTGGCGCGCAGAGGTGGGGTGCCACCCCACCCCTGCGTCACACCGGCCTCAACCTGCCACCACACTCCGCCCTACTCGACCCCACCTCACCGCGCCACACACTGCCGTGTATGCCGCACGATCCTGCGTTACGGCTTTGCCCGTCGACGCCAAAGCGAGCTCATGCAGCAGCACAGCAGCGGTCGCGCTAAAAAAAAAGGAGGGAAAAAAATTAATTTTCGGCTCATATAGGGGCAAGCGCACAACGTACGACGTGAGCCCTCCCAGCACACAAACTGGGGGGCGGGCGGGGGCGGCTCCATTGCAGCGAGGTGGTGCTGTCTCGCACAGCTCGCTGTACCCTGTTCCAAGGCGGGGCGGGGCGGGGCGGGGCGAGCAGATTGGAGGCGCTGTGCGAGGTGCGACGGCAGAGGCGGGGGGCCGGAACATCTCTCGGGGAAACTTTTGACCCGACTTGGGCATCGCGCGCGCTCGCCAACTTGGCGTCGCCACCTTCCTCGCCGCAAGACGGCTCATATGCCAGGGCCACCAACACGGTTTCAACAGAAAACCAAAAACGAAATACCAAAGTGTAAACAATCCTCTTAATAGTATTGGTTATAATCAAATATTAATTGCCCCTATAGGGAGGGAGGGGGGTCACTGGAAAAACAAAGCCTTGCCTTGCTAGTGGTGTTAAACCTTAATGCCTTTGTAAAGGTACGAAAGTGTCCAAAGGCATTTAAATTTAGCACCCTTGGAAGGTTTTAATGCCTTTGTATAATTTTTAATGCCTCCGCAAATACATTAAAATCCTTTGAGTCATACCTTTGTGTTTCCAGTGTCTTTTTTAATAACTTCATTTGCTGCTTTGCAGGCGTTTCTGAACCTTGTGCTATTGACCCTGCCTGGAGGGCACACGCCGTGCCCTCGCGCCGCGCCCCGCCGACCCGACGCCCTGATTTGCTGCGGTGTTTCAATAAGGCCTCGGTCTGCGGGGCGGGGTGGGGCGGGGCAGGGCGAGCTGAGGCCTCCTCACACTGAGGTTCAGTCTCAGTCCCCGCTCGGCACCGCCCGCCCGCCCGGGGCTTACTGTCACTTTATGAAAAGCCCTCCCCTCGCCTCCACTGCTCACCCCACTCTCTCTCCCTCTCTGTCTCTGACCCCCCCCCCCCCCCCCCCCCCCCCCCCCCCCCCCCCCCTTCTCCCCCCCCCCCCCCCCCCAACCTCCCTGGTCGGTTCAAGGGGAACGCCTCCATCCCTACAAGTATTTTACAGCCCTCACCTGCCGCGTTGTGTTCGCCCCGCCACCGCGTGCGACGTGCTACTGCTGCTGCCGCCCCACCGCCCCCGCTGCGGTTTTGACCGCAGGCGCGCAGGGGGGGGGGGGGGGAGGAGGCGAGCTAGCTTTTGTGCACGACGGGGTGCGTGGAGAGGGGTGGCGGGCGGATACTCCCCCTCCCCGCCCCCCGTCCCGCCCCTTGACAGGGCCGGCTCCTTGTCACAACACGGCGCTGGCGATAAGGAATTATGCCGCCAAGCAGGCGAGCACAATGGCGCGGGTGCGCCGGTGGTGCCGGTGTTGGTGCAGGCGGAGGTGAGGCGCAGGCCTGCTCCGCGCTGACAGCGCCCCCGAGGCCCCTGCCCCCGCTGCCCCCCGCTGTCCACCACAGCTCCCCGCCGCCCCCCACAGCCCCCCGCAGAGCCCAGTAGAGTGAATCACAAAACATGGCCACTCGTCTAATACTCCGCCCGGGGCGGGGTGTTCTAGTCCGCCGGGGCTGCTTCTCGGTTCCACGGAGTCTTTCTCTCCGTCCACGACCTTGGCCTATACTACTACACTGTTGAATCAAGTGTGAGACCGTTATACTCGGTTATACTTTAGCCAATGTGGGACAGAGTGCCTCACCCTTCCAAATGCAGAGCACTTGTACCTCACATTAGCGCTTCACCTAATATGAAGGTCTCATTACCACTTAAATTCACACGATTCCCTAATTTGTATCACTATGAAATTAAGTTACCTCATCAAATCCGTAGATTTTGTTGTGGTAGTTAACAAAAGTCTCCTAAGCGACCACGCGGCTCGGCCCCCCTGCAAACGCTGCTACATCACCTGTGTCTGCTCTGGTGCAATGCGGCCAATTGCTGAAGGCCCGCTGCTGCACCACAGTGACGGCGGCCACGTCACCAGGGCCTGTAACGAGCTCCCGATAGCGCGCGTCATGCGAAATGGATCCTTTCTCAACTTCATTCTCTCTCTCTCTCTCTCTCTCTCTCTCTCTCTCTCTCTCTCTCTCTCTCTCTCTCCATTTCTCTGCCTCTCCTTTACCCTCTATCTCTCTCTTTTCCTTACCCTTTCCTTTGCCTTCGTCGCTCCCTTTTGTAGCCTCCGGCAACCGCGCCGGCACGCACGTACGGTAAACTAGGCCAGGTGAGCCACTCGCTTGGCGGGCCGGCCGCCCCCGGCCGAGGGCAGTCAGGAGTGCTGGGGGTGGCTGGCGCTGCGGGGGCGGCACGGGGGCGGCCGCGTCATGAAGCCCTCGGCCGTACAAGTGGGGCGCGGCAAGGCGCGGCGCGAAACGTCGACCAGCATCGATCATAAAATGGAGAGACACTTTTACGACATTATTTTCGGGGTTATCCCGCCGCTGCTCCGCACACGGGGAGGCGCGCTCGTTGTGGTGAAAGCGGTGGGGCGTCGTCGGGTGGAGGAAGGGGACACGAAGTAAAGGAAGACGTATGCTCTCGATCTCTACTTGCACCGACCTACCCCAACCTCGTGCAGCCTAGCCCACGCTGCCTCAACGGGAAAAATATTAGCTATAGTTAAACCATTGATTAAATATGTGTGTATAAATTACTAATTTCGTAGCTTCGTGGATAAAAATTGTGCTGTTTCGCAAAAAGTGAGCTCCTAAAAATATGTAACTGCATACATAGCGCGATAAGTTAGTTACACTGTATCGGTTTAGCTGAACAGCTATTCTTTTTTGTCCGCGCAACCTCCTGATACTCTCCACTCTCCTGCGCCACTGCTGGGCCCCACTTGACACCTCCGCCCCCGGGCCGCCCGGACGACACGGGAGTTGGCGTGGGTCGGCGCGCCTGCGGCCCGGCGCTACGCTCTGCCACGTCACGCACAATGGGGCGGAATAACGGTCTGGCCGGGAGAAATATCGAGATACGCGAGGCTCAGCCCCGGCCCGCCCCCGGCCCGCCCCCGGCACAACCCCTCCGCTCCGGCGAGCGTCGCACCAATCGGCGGACAGGCGGATCAGCTCATCCGGCCACTCGCCTCAATGGCTGCATGGAGCTGGCTGGTGAAGACGGCCACGCGTTCGAGGCGAGAAGGCGGCGAGATAGTGTCCTCTTGCGATCCATCTGTTGATGCGGCTTAATCGGGGAATGCCTTTGTGTATATATTTGTACTCATACTTTATTACCCACCCAGTACACTTAAGTCGGGCGCCAGTACATATCTTTTTACTTTAGCGAATATTTTTTGTTATCGGAAAAAACAGGCAATAGCACTGTTTGCCCAACTCGGCAGGCCTCTCTACCTCTCTGAAGTGGGGGGTGGGGGGAGGGGGGAGAGAGGCAGGGGTGCAAACCCACTTCATGAGCCTCTTCTCCAGCTCCAGCCTCCGCAGCCTCGCCAGTGGGGTCAGTCTGCTCTGCTTTCTGAGGAATCTGCCGGGATTTGCGAGTTTTACAAGAGCGTTTGCCCTCGCAGATGAGCTGAGCCCCGCCCCCACCCGGCCCCGCCCCTTAGCTCTCTCTCTCTCGGCCCCCACGGCCTCCTCGGCCTTCGCCCCCCAACCATTTGCTCCGGCTGTCTCAGTGCCTGCTCGGCGCTCTCTGGCCTCCGCAAGGCTCGTTTTTCCTATCTCGTGCGGCGGGGCGGGGAGGCTGTGCAGCCCTGCATCCCATTCCCACGACACCCCGTGCCAGTGGGACCGGACGCGACGCGAGGCCCCCTTCACCCTCACGTTTATCCGACGGCGTCAGCGGCGGTTGTGGTAGTCGTGGTGGCGGTGGTGGTGTGGGTAATGTAGGGGGCGGTGGTTGGTGGTGATGGTAGTGGTGCCTTCCAGCTGCAGCCGCACAACCTACCCTGCCCTGAACCCCCCCACCTCGCCGGACCCCTCTCCTCCCATCGCTTCATCCCCCTCGCGTCGAGCCTCGCGATGGTAAAGCCCATCCACATCTCCGACCCGACGCTCCAGTCTTTGCCGCGTGGCGCAACCCTGAGAGCACGCCCCCCCCCCCCCTCACTGTCCCACTACGCCCCGCCGCGCCCTCGACTCCGCTGCCATCAGTAGTTCTCGTCTCTTCAGATGGGAATGAATTTTGCATCAGGCTTGTCCCGTTCCACGCCCGTCACGTGAGTCGGCAGGCAACTGTGTTCGTGTATGTGTGTGTGTGAGAGAGAGAGAGAGAGAGAGAGAGATAGATCTCGCTGCCAGGTCAGGTACCCTAGCCGGCGAGGCGGGCCCACCCACAGAGATGTGTATACGTCGGCTTACTTCATCCGCGCCGGATAGGCAAACAGCCTCCTTCCCCCCTCCCCTCCGCGCCGCCTTGTGCGCCCGAGGGCGTTGGCGAGGAAAAGGCTTGAGCAGCCGCAGCGACCGCGAGTGCAACGTAAGGCCCTTTGTGTTGTGATCGCGAGCAGCGGTATGGCATGCCGAAGAACAAAAAAGCGACTCGCATTCTATGTGTCTCTGTCTGTGCTTGAAGAACACGCCACTATGGCCACCTTTAGAAAAGTACACAAGGGAAAGGACGACAACTCGGGGAAACACGTCGCGCGGCAGCGCCCCTGCCATGCGGTGGGTAGGCAACCAAGTGCACTCGGCGCGCAGACGTTGCCTACCTCTCAGGCTGACTGTACCTTCTGTGTCAGTGCAGCAAGGTGAGCCGTGCCTGTCCTTAACCTCAGCTGTCTGTGTGTGTTGCAGACGGCCCCGGGGCCCCCGGCCGCGCCCGCAGCGCCTCGGTCAAAGGGGTGTCCGAGGCGGCGCCTCGCCCTGGAGCGACCCTGGAGTCAACACACGGCCAGGACCCCGCTCACAAAGTCGTCCACGATCCCGAGGACCTATGCGTCGTCCCCTCCAGGCCCAGTGGTAAGTTGATGGCAACATTTCGTTAATCTGTTTTTCTTTTCTGTTTTTGTCGTTCGATTGGGTTCTACGGCATATGGAAGTGATTTGGACGTTGGTGCTTACTGAATTGGTTAAAAACGTTCGTAACAAAAAAAGAAAAATATTCTTCTCTGAAAAAAAAAAGTATTACAATATGGTGATTTTTTAGACTTCATTTCGTGCACGTGAATTGTCAAGTTTTTCATAGTTCTGGTATGCCGTCCCGCACGCGCATGTCCGCATCGTGTTGATGATGCGCGCGTGCACGAACAACGCAGACACGTGCACGTCGGACGGGCGTGCTTTGGCTGACAAAAGAGCCGCTCTCGATTGACATTCGAATGTGTGACGCGTCGTTTTCGCACTCGGCCCTGCCGCCGTGCGCGCGCTCTACCCTGAAAAAATGTGAAACGACTGTAATCTTTGTATAAAGTAGCTGTCACTCTCAACAGTGTGAAACTGAACGAGTTTCATCTCAAAGTTTAAGGTCGTATCCGCGCACGCCCTCTGAAACAAAAACTAACTCCGCTTTCATTGTTTGTTGACTTGAACTGCTATCTGAGAACCAAATTCTCGCGAGTCGACATTTATTCCTCTTTCCTGACCTCTTCTCGGTCTGTGCGAGTAGTAGCGTGGCGGTAACGGTGAAGGAGTAAAACCATCTTCCTCGGGCTATCGATCTGTGCGGTCATGTTGCTTTCGAGCCGCCTGTGCAGTGCAGCTTGCGTGACCCCCCGCTGGCTTGCGCTCCGCGCTCCCCGCCGTCTTGCAGACAGTAATGTGCATTTTTGCGGTTTTCTTCTGTTTGACAGCAAAGAGCCGCTACGAGCTATGCGTCGTACCCTGCCACCCCAACGGTGCGTATCTGCTGCATGCGCTCGTCTTCTTAATTTCCATTTTCTTTTGTTTTCTTCTATTAACTAACGCATTGTGCCGCAATTATGGTTTGTGCTTGCTTCTGTTAATAATGAAAAGCTCTGCAGTCTGAACGTGTATATAGTCTTTCAGGATTTCCCCCTACTCTGTATCCGCGTTGACGCGCCAGCTCCACCGTATGTTCTACACCTCAACCCTCCTCTGCTGCTCCCCAATCTGCCCAGCGCAGAAGGGCTGCTGAGCCGTGCAACGCGCCTGCCTGCCCCGGCCCCCGGCCCGGCTTGGCAGGGTGTGATTTCGTGACGGCAGAGTGTGGTTTGACCGCAAGCGGGTACGCCAGGTGCCCCGCTCAGCCCCCCCCCCCTTCCTCCGCCCGCTCTGCAGCTTTCAGCCGTGGCTGCCTGGACCATCCCCCATCCCGGCCCAGGGCTGGCGTTGACCCAGTGCTACCGCAGAGCGGCGCAGAGCCCTATAGACCCACACACCTATTTTTTCTCTCTGTCTCTCAC